GGAAGAAAAGAGTGACCTAGTAAGCTAAATGTTTCCTTGACTTGGAAAGTTGAAGATCCAATGATGAAAGGCATTGTTTTTCTATCCCAAACAGTTAACATTGTCCTTTGCTTACCCTTTTTGCGCTAGAAAAAGGCAATCATCCAAATTCAGAAAAGCCAAGATGATTTTCTTCCTGTTAACCCACATCAATGACCGGGGTCGTGAAGAGAGAAATGTGAGGGAATATATGGAAAAATTAATTTTGAGCCTTTACCCTTTCTTTCATAATAGCCTGACCCCAAGCCACATTACAAGCCTATAAAGTCCTTATTTGAGGGTTTGAAACTTTCTATGTCAAGGAACATTTGCCAAAAGAAAAAAAAAAATCCTTTCTCTAGTGAGTCCAAGTCAACTGAAAGCTCGATGGTTTATGATTGGTCTTCTAAACATTGAAGGTTAGTTCATGGGAAAGAGATAGATTTGATTTGTCCACCTTGGCATCGAAGTAGACATTGTCTCATATGCTAAAGACTGGATTGGTGGAGTTGCAAAGAAATAAATTCTTGAAGCAAATACTTTTAGCCTGAATGCTTTCCAGCTTTGTTAAAATTGTTGCATCAAAAGTTGTGCAATTCAAAAATCATGTTTATTCTCTTTCTATCCATACATATTGTCCATGACCTAGCCTTCTTTTCCTTGTTTAGATTGGGATGCTAATTGGTTATGATGCTTTATTTCAGTTAATATAATTGCTTTATTTAACTGAAATCTCTTGACAAATCTGAAAATGAGATGAGAGTTGCAGAGAAAAGCAAAAGCTTGATTCAACGGTCATGGTGCTTATCCTATCTTGTAATGATTCGAGAATTTTCCCCAGTGAACTAGAGATGTTCCCAAGTCACTGAACTTTATGCAAAACATGTCATCAAGCCTATTAATGGATGCACAACACAGAGGACACTTGACTCTTGCCAAGCAAGGACATCCAATATGTTCAGGGAAGTTTCTTAACCTATCTTCATTGTTAAAAAACCATTTTCTCATTCAGTTAAAAAAAAAAAAAATTGTTTCTTGCATTGGTTAAAAACCATTTTTCTCACTCGGTTAAAAAACCGTTTCTTACTTGGTTCAAAAACCATTTCTTACTCGGTTATAAAACCGTTTCTAGTGTGGTTCAAAAGCCATTTCTACTCGGTTCAAAAACCGTTTCTTACTTGGTTCAAAAACCATTTTTCATTCGATTAAAAAAAAAAAAAAACATTTATTGGTTGCTTGGTTCAAAAAACCATTTCTTGCTCGGTTATAGAACCATTTCTGCTCAACTAGCTTGGTTATACAACCATTGCTGCTCAACTTGCTCGGTCATTTGACCGTAGTTACTCAACTTGTTCAGTCGTTTGACGGCTACTCAACTTGCTCGGTCATTCGATCGTTATTCGTTCGGTTATCCGATCGCTACCCCTCGGTCATTCGACCGTTACCTACTCGATCATTCGATCGTTACTCGTTCGGTCAATCTGATCGTTACTCCCTCGATCATTCGATCGCTACTCGTTCGGTCAATCCGATCGTTACCCCCTCGATCATTCGACCGTTACCTACTCGATCATTCGATCGTTACTCGTTCGGTCAATCCGATTGTTACTCCCTCGATCATTCGATCGTTACTCGTTCGGTCAATCCAATCGTTACCCCCTCGGTCATTTGACCGTTACCTACTCGATCATTTGATCGTTACTCGTTCGGTTACTCGATCGTTACTCGTTCGGTCACCCGATCGCTACTCGTTCGGTTATCCGATCTTACCCCTTGGTCATTCGACCGTTACCTGCTCGATCATCTGATCGTTACTCGTTCGGTCAATCCGATCGTTACCTCCTCAGTCATTTGACTGTTACCTGCTTGAGCATTCGATCTCTATTCGTTCGGTTATCCGATCGCTACGCCTTCGGTCATTCGACCGTTACTTGCTCGATCATTCGATCGTTACTCGTTCGGTCATCCGATCGTTACCTCTCGGTCATTTGGCCGTTACCTGCTTGATCATTCGATCGTTACTCGGTTACTTAACCGTTATTGCTCAAGCCTGCTCGGTCGTTTGACTGTAGCTATCCATCTTGCTCGGTCGTTTGACCGTAGCTATCCCTCTTGCTCGGTCGGTTGACCGTAGCTACTAACTTGCTCGATCATTTGATCGTTACTCGTTCGGTTATCCGATCGTTACCCCTCGGTCATTCGACCGTTACCTGCTCGATCAGCCGATCGTTACTCGTTCGATCATTCGATCGTTACTCATTCGGTCATCCGATCGTTACCCCTCGGTCATTCGACCGTTACCTGCTCGATCATTCGATCGTTACTCGTTCGGTCAATCCGATCGTTACCCCCTCGGTCATTCGACTGTTACCTGCTCGATCATTTGGTCGTTACTCGTTCGGTTAATCCGATCGTTACGGTTTCTTAACCGTTTTTACTTTTCTCATTCAGTCTACCCGATCGTTGCGGTTTCTTAACCGTTTTTACTTTACCTGTTCCGGTCATTCGACCGTTGCGGTTTCATAGCCCTTTTTATTTTACTTTACCTGTTCCGGTCATTTGACCGTTACGGTTTCTTAATCGTTTTTATTTTACATGTTTGGTCGTTCGACATGTTTTACTTTACATGTTTAGTTCAAAAAAAAAAAAAAAAAAGAAGAAAGAAGAAAAAGTTGAAAATTTGAGTTATTCTTGTCTTTCCTTTTCATTCTTAACAGAAAGAAAAGAAAAGAGGGGCAACTGTCATAACTCAAAATTTTATCAAAAAAAAAAATCAATCAAAAATATAAAAATATGAAAATTTCCCTTTCCTTTGATTAATATATCTTTATTTTGTTTCAGGTGCTACATGCAAAAAGAAATGGGAAAATTCAAGAAGAAGAAAGAAGGGACTCAATTGAAGAATTAAAAGTTGGAGGGGTGAAGTTCATCAAAATGAATTTTTCAAACCCAAACCCAAAACCCATCAAACCCAAACCCAAAACCCATCACTACCCAAACCCAATTACCCAAAAAGCCCAAAAAAAAA